GAATGCTGCCAAACAGAAGGCATGCTGGTTGGTTGGTAGCTGCTTGTTGCTAGCAGGCCAGGAACCAGGCATGTGAGGGCTAGCTTGCCGATGGCTAGCAGGCCGACGGCTAGCTGTCTGGAGCTCAGCGCCAGCGGGCCAGGGATCAGGTGGCCGGATACTGGCTGGCAGAGGTGAAGGCCGGGGGTTGTTAGCCAACTGGCAGGAGATCAGACTGGAAGCAGCTTACTGAACAACATTCAGGCAGTGACAATGGCTGGTGGTTAGAGAGTGTTAACCTCAGAGTCACAAGAAGTGTCCAGGCATAGCTAGTCTTTCTTCAGCTAAGCAAACAATGCCAAGAATATTCACCAATCTCGGTTTTGCCAAAATTCTCTTTTCCATTAACTTATAAACAAATTTACGGCGCTTAGTGTCCACAGAATTGAAATCCACATTTAAGAGATCATAGTCCACTCCACTACTAATGTCTGCTGGGCCCATATTGGTCGCGTCATACTGTCAGGAAGGCACGGAGAGTTGCGGGTTAATTGCAGCATTTTAAAAACTGAAGTCAGTTGTAAGATTTACATCATCAACAGACTAGACAACACAATTTAGGTCCACCACATGAGAAGCAACGTCCACACAGAAAGAATAATCCAAATAAATCCAGCAGGGTCCAAACATGTTACAGGAGAGACACTCAACGTATGATGACAACACGCCAACAAGAAACGGAAACCCAGACAATTTATACAGAAGTACACAAGCTTATCTTATCTTAACACATGTTTCTTTTACTGTGACTCCTTGTTGGCAGAAGAGTGTTCATTTTTATCTCTTATCAGCCATGGATACATACTGCTGTTCATAAAATTAATAGTTGAAATTCATTTTCGGTTGGGCTGCCGACCTGTCCAGGGTCTACGTCGCCTTTTGCCCGATGTCACACAGGATAAGCGGTTGACGATGGATGGATGGATGGAATTAATTTTCTGTTTTTGCAAATAATATTACTTTCAGGGTGACTCCGTTTTCTAATGTGTGTAGTGCTACAGACTCTTCAAATTGCCATGGTGAAATATACAGTTTAGTTTGTTGATAGGTGACACTACAGAAATGCCCGTATAGATTTCCAAAGAAGCTTAAAAAACAAGGGCAACTGGACCTGGTGGATACTAGATTACGTTTCGTCCCTCATCCAAGAGACTTCTTCAGTTCTGACTGACCAGTAGGGAAACTCAGCTATTTAACCTCTGGGGGGTCGTTTGCCAAGATCATTGATACCACTTAGTGCTCCTGGCTATAGTAACGACATTCATTATGGTCGTTAGAGCCATTCCTGTTTAGATATTTATATGTCCTCATCTGTTAATTGAGTTAGGTTTATGGGTACTGTAAGCCTCACCCTATTTAGCATTTATAAGCAGTATATAAACAACATTGGTTTATATGATCAAAACTGGTATATAAGAATAATAGTGACAATCTTTATTTAAACATTTTTCAGAGCAGAGTTAGAAAGTGAGTTACATGCAACAATCAAGATAGATCAGTCCAGAAAATAAAAGAGAATAAAATAACAAATAAACAAATTGAACAGTTGAAACACACTAAGTAAAGGAAAACAAATGGATGATATTTAAAGTGTATTATTTGATTGTCATCTGTGCTTCTGGTTAAACCAGATTATGATTGTATTGATCGAGATGACACACTTTCATTTTGCTGCAAGTCTTGGTGTGTGTGTGTGTGTGTGTGTGTCTGTGTTTCACTTTTCTGCTCTGTACTACAGGCTCATACATTAGGCTTATGATGTACTCATTATTAAATTCAGACAGTGAACTCTTTTAAGTCCCTTCTTAAAACATACTTTTATAGGAGAAACTTTCCCGATTGTATTTGACTTTATTTTATCCCTTTTATTTTATTTCTATTTTACTTATTTTATATTTATTTTAAACATGTATTTTAGTCTTTTCAATGTTTTCTTGCTTTTATCTTGTATTGTTTTTGTATTATTGTCTTTTGGGTATTATTGTCTTTACACTTGTTAAAGCACTTTGTAACTTGTTTTTGAAAAATGCTCTACAAATAAAGATTATTATTATTTATTATTATAAATCATTAAAGTCGGTCAGTTTTACCTGGAACACGGCAAGAAGGTAAATGAAAATGTTTGCCTGTTGCTCAGTAAAGCAACAAAGGAAAGGGCCAATAGAAGAGTGTAGCACGTTCTCTCTAACTTTGTCCTGAATTGGAAGTGACATTTGATACTTTTTAAAATCTTCTTCCTTAAACTGACCCAAGAAATTGAATCCGAGAAGAACAAAACCTGCAATGTGACCTGAGCCACAAGCAAAGGCAGATTGCAGGAAGTGCAAGATTTTCTAGTTAATCCTAGATTCTATGGCCCCCAAAAAATCTAAAACGTGATAGAATTAAATTACTACTGGAATCATCTTTCATTTTCATCCTCAACTTAATGAGGCAATGTTTGATCAAACACAAAATAATGTTTTAATTTGAATGTTGATGAATCACAGTTTTTAGTTTGTTTTATTTTTCTCCAATGACTAGAAACGATTCACACTACTATTGCCTCTGCACATGTGCAGTTCTGCATGTAGCGTGACTTTCCTGGTCTTGAGGCTGATAGGAGATTAAGAGCGTGCAAACATTATCATTATCCTTTGTATTATTCAAATAACAATTGTGCAACATGCAGAAAACCCTGCAGCTGTAGAGGCCTAATCTGTACCTGCACAAACTGCAAATAATGTTTTAAAGTCATGACTGTCAGTGGCTGCTGGTGGTGTAGCACAAAAGATCTGGGCCCAGAGGGTCCATTGTCATGTGACAAAATGTTGTTTGTCTTTGATCCAATTATCCAGAATGTCTTGAGTAATTATTACTGATGTAACATCTTAAAGGCCCTCAAAACGTAATTTCTCAATCAGATTCTTTCTGAGAGTAATGCTTAATGATTACCATTTCAGTCCAAGTCAGAACAGTTTTTGGTTTATTTGACATGAGATATTTCCCTTATTGTGTTTCTCTCTGTGCCCTTCTCACTGATTTTCAGCCATGTCCTTCTGAGCACCAACCAGGATTTAGCAATATTTGAATCAAAATTGATGACAGTTGTGGGGCTGTTGGCTTATAAATCCAGGCTACTGATCAAATCTGATCAAATGACACCCACCACAGTCCTGGGATCTCATTCATAAAACTGTGCATAGAAACCTCACTAAAAGTGTCATTGGGCCCAAAAGCCACAATACACCAAAACATATTCAATATATTGAAAATATTCAATATAATATTCACAATATTATAATTGGTCAGTGAAACGCCATATTATAATATTATAATATTGATACATACTGACTCCATTAAGAAAAGGAGGCAAATTCTGACAGATAAGCTACAAAACGGAATTTAAAGTGTGACACAGACGTTTTTTTTGGTGAAGCTGAAGTTGTTTGGTGGGTAAAAAACACACTTTCACGCAACGCTTGTGCACTGGAGTAAAGGGGGCACCGGAGCACCACTCCTTTGTAACTGATCTACAGGAAGGGGCATCGCTCTTGAGAAGTCGCTGCCTGGAAGGGGACACACACACGCAAGGATGACCCAGGTACTAATTTGGATTCCCCCGTTTGAATAGAGATTAATTTGGCTGTAAGACATTTATTTGGCTGTACAAGCAGTCCACTCTCTTAACAAGGCTGAGAAAAGAAATATGACTTGTTGTTAATGACAAAAGCAGCACACTGAAAGATTTACTTAATAAGTGCATAAGTGTTTTTACAAGCAGCACATCACAACCACACGCTGGCGCACAGCGTTTGGCTCGATAAGGCAACATGTGATAACAATACATGAAAAGCACTCTAATCGACTGACGCATTGAAAACGGCATCAATTTAAATTTGTCCTCCTGTTCACCTTATTTATGAGAATAAATTGCACTGCATGCAAGTATTAATTAATATGATTCCCGATTAAACTGTACAACATATCTGAGGCATTCTTTTGCCGAAACAGATGTTTGTGTTTATTATCCTACATCTGGTTCTTTTTGTGTGACCTTAAATGATGTTTTTTGCGCACTTCAGGGAAAATCAATCAAACGGGTGTTTGTTTATTCAGAAAGGCTTTAAGCCTATAATATGTTACCCAGAGGCAATATTTCGATTTATTTTACACAATAGGGCCTATTCATTTCAAACCGTTTCATCCTTCTGCCATGTGAGTCGCCAATTCTCATTTCTCCTCAAATGTGCGTACATGGTTCAGGATTTCCGCACATTGTCATTGTTTTTTTGTTTTTTTTATAGATCACAACCTGTGCTTGGGAAATGGTGTACGCACGTTTCCAGCCCTGTTTTGTAGGTACGCAGCGTTTATAAATGAGACCCAAGTGAAGCAAATTTGCTGAGTTTGTGAGTGTTAAACGCTTAATAAATGACACTTTTCAAACAATGCTCTCATCACGAATGACGATGTGACCAGTTTTTAGGGGATTTTATCATAATGAAGCTAATAGTAGGACAATCACATCTTATTTGGTTGCCCTATTCCAGCTCAGCCTGCACTTTATGTGGCCACAAGATGGCAGTACCGCATTGTCTTGGATTAGTTTGCCTCCCAAACACCATGAATGAAGTTTCAGTTATTTTATTACCCACAGCATAATGCATGATGTTTGTCAAGGCGAAGGAGTGGAGATCTTGTCAACACTGCATATCCTTAAAAAAGGGTATGTAATAATAATAAGCTTTTTGAGGGCTAAGACTTATTTTTAGGGTTCAGGCTACAATAAGGGGAGGGGTAGGGTTGGAGTTAGGCTTATAGTTGCAATGCAAAAGGTTTAGGGGTAAGGGGCTTGGAAATGCATTATGTCGATGAGATGTCCTCACGGAGACTGTGGAACAAACGTGTGTGTGTGTGTGTGTGTGTGTGTGTGTGTGTGGGTGGGTGAATCAGAGAAAAGGGGAGAGAGAGTGAGGGCAGGCACAGCAAAACTGAGTGTTGAAAATCTGGAGATCTGAGAAAGCCTCCCAGTGTGCGTGCTGTGAGTGGAGGCTGCAGAAGGTTTCCCGCCAGTGCAACTGAGTCACTCTCTCAGCGTTTAATGTGGATGTCGCTGTTCAACATGGACTTCCAAAAGTTAACCCGGCCTGAATGAACTTCTGGCGAGAGTGGATGGATCTTCAGACAGGAATTTATGCACTATGGAGATGTTTGCCAGGCAGTGCTTTGTTTGGACACTTCTGAAAGGAACTTTTTGTTTGGTAAGTACAAGAAACTAGAAGCACTGAACAATTAGATGCATGTCACATTAAAAACAAACAAAACTAACCCTAACCCTATTTACACAAGAACTTAGTGTTGCCACATACTGAAACTTATGTGACTTCTGCAATTATTTTCAGCCATATTTTTTGTGACAGTTTTACACACATAAAAAATAAACTATTAGCTACTTAAATACAATACTGTTTTGGAGTTTAATTTAACAGTGAGTGTGTGTAGTTAAATGCTTCTTACAGGCAGTTGCATCAGTAATTAAAAGGGACCATTCTTCAGGATAAGTAATTTTATATTTGGCACCTCAGAACATTTTTATGGTAGTACTACTTACAAAGCAAATCTGAATGCAGTATTTTTCATCAGTGTTCATAATGTAAATTATGTTTTCAATATTTCTTTTTAACATTTCGCAAGTTTTGGGCTGTAAAATAGATATTTTTAGGGAATTATAACCGAATAACAGATTGTTACTCTCTTTTTTCACCGCTCTATTTTACTTATTAATTTACTTCCAGTTGTACTCAGTGTCCACCTTTCTCTCCTGATTGTCTGTCTAGTTGGTTCTTGGCAACTTCACCTTCAGCAAGAGATCATCACCTGAACTCAACAGAGACCAAGACTTGTCTTCACAGAAAAACTGGGCACCTGAAACTAAGAGTTTGAATCAGAACACCAAACTACCCATCAATCCTTTTATTCCTCTTTCAAAGCAGGGACTTCTGGAAATACTTGGAGCAAACGCCCAGTCGTCTTCCAACCCATCCTTAAAGTTAAAGCTTCGTCCCATCATGACGTTCAGCTGGGGCGAGTTTTATTCAAACATCAAAACTGTCAAACTGAATTTGCTGATAATGGGCAAGATCGTGGATCACGGGAACGGCTCTCTCGGAGTCTACTTCCGCCACAACTCCACAGGTGTGGGCAATGTGTCTGTCAGTCTCGTCCCACCGATGAAAGAGGTGGAGTTTGATCTGGAGCGCCAAAGTGTGGTCAACCCCAAAGACTCGAAGACATTCAACTGTAGGGTAGACTATGAGAAAACCGAACGGAACAAAAAGGTGATGCTGTGCAACTACGACCCCTCCAAGACATGCGCTCAGGAGCAGACCCAGAGCCACGTTACCTGGATGTGCTCCAAACCCTTTCAGGTTATCTGCATCTACGTGTCTTTCTACAGCACAGACTACAGACTGGTTCAAAAAGTCTGTCCAGACTACAGCTACCAGAATCCAGGAGCCTACCTTCGCACAGGTTAAGCAGATGTCGAGCCAAGCACAACAGTGGAGAATAATGTTTCAATAAACCCAGTTTGAGCAGCTATGAGCAAGTCTGAGGGACTGTTTTGGAAGTTTTTAAAGGGATTCAAAAGTTTAGCATTTCTCTAGAAAATGTTTTTTTTTTCAAGTCCTATAATTCACCAAATAATGTTAAGTCTATGTTTTTAGTGCATCTTGCTTGTCAAAGACTACAAGAGCTGTATTAGACTGTTTTCACCCAGTGCATATAATTAGGAGCATTATTTTCATTCTCAATTGATGTGATTTTTCTTTTACATTATTGAATAATCTTTCGGTTTTATGAAATGACAGGAAGGTGTGAAAAATGCTCATCACAACCTTCAAATTACTTGTTTTGTCCAAAACCCAAAGATATTCAGTTTACAATCACAAGACAAATTAAAGCAGAAAATCCTCACAAATGAGCAACTGGAGCTAGGTAATCTTCTTTTAAAAGACTGATGTGAATAATTAATCGATTCTCAAAATAGAAACAGATTTTTCTATTTACCAAACGAACGTCAAGTAGCCTAATCCTTGTAGCTCTATACATAATTCATCCCATAATACTTTGCAGCTAGACAATAGCAAGTGTTTTGGTTTGTAATGGCTAATTTAGGCTTAGGCTATATCACCATCCATGTTTGTAACGCTAAAGATAACAGACTATATACATCTAATCAGGATAAACCATTTGCAACATTGTTATTTTGCATTTACATTGTACACTTCAGTCATTATGTTCTCTCTCAGTTTGATGATGTCTGGAGAAACTGCTGTTTAAAAGAGCACAGAGTGACCATGAAAGTCCTTTAAACTATCGTACCATTCAATAGTCCTGCTTTACAAACAAGATTTAGAACCAGATTTGTACATTTGTGAGTTTTTCCATAACTGAATTTGTTTGATTTGGTCCGATCAGTGCTTGTTACAAAGCTGAGGGAAGATGTTTATTAAAGTTTAGACCTTGTGTAGGCTATAAACAACAAAATGTACAGGTTTAGACATTTTAAGTTGACCCCATTAGCAACCTATTATTTCAACTGGTTGAGAAAGTACATAGTTTGTTTCACCTACTAATCAAAGTGATGATGATGATACCCATGTACTCATGGTATATCTGATGTTATTGCTGTTGCCCACATGTAGATATTGGCTAGGGATGCACTGATCTGTGCTTTGCGTATCGGCCGATGCCCAGTAGGCCTACTGATCGGATACCAGTGTTAAATAATTAAGCTGTATTTCTCACTGTGAGATCAGGCTGGAAATCATTATTTTATGCATAAGGCAAAATCAGGCTTGACTTAGATATTGCTTCCTAACTTTGTAAAACAAAACGCTGTGTTAGCTCTCCTGGCAAAATGTTCAGGTCTACCAGCACACTGCTAATGCATCATGTGGTACACCTGTAATTGAACTGAATAGATCGGCCAATCCAGCTATTTGAGTCAGTATCTGAAATCAGTATCAGATCTGTGCATCCCTAGTATTGGCTGCTCTAATCTTATAGTGCAGATTTCAATGCAATAAAAACAGCTGTGCACACAAGGTGACACGTAGTTACTCTGTGACAGCTAATCAAACTTCTTACATGCGGTTTCCCATTGGTTGTGAGAGTGCTGTGCCGGGCCACAATTGGTCCTCTAAAACAGCGGTTGTGAATAGTGAAAGCCATGTAGGGGTTTGGGGTTGTTGAGTGGTTCAGGAGGCCCAGAACTTGGCAGGAGCCCTGTGTAACATGCCAGGAATTAAATATATCTGTTTCTGAGTTGTTGTCAGTTTCAGCCTGGTGACTGCACCGCCGGTGGTGAAAGAAGTATTCAGCTCCTACACTGAAGTAAAAGTACCAATATCACACTGGAAAAATACAAGTAAAAGACCTGCATTGAAAATCATGTGAAAAATTCTGTAAGTATAATCAAGAAGATGTACTTAAAGTATTAAAATTAAAACTACTCAATGTAGAAAAATGGCCCCTGTGACCTTTATACTCTTATATATTATATCTTTGGATTATTATTACTCGTGCTGTATGATGGTTGAGGTGGTGCAGATTCGTTGCTATTTTGTACAGGACTGCCACTAATAATTGTTTTCTCCATTAATGTATTGCTTGGTTTGTAAAAAATCACAAATGCCATCACAAATACCCAGAGCCCAAGGTGGCACCTTCACAATGCTTTGTTTTGTCCAACCAATAGTCCAAATTTCAAAATGATTAAAAATACATAAAAGTGATTAAAAGGAAAAGCAGCATACCTTTATATTTGAGAAGCTGGAACCATGAAATGTTTTTGCATGAAAAATGACTTTGACGACTAAAAAAAATAGTTGCTGATTAATTGTCTGTAAATCAACAATTAATTGATTCATCGAATAATCATCAGCTGTACTTGTGTATACTGTTGGGTAGTTAAATTTTTTAACAAAATCTATTTTATAAGCTCTTCAGGTCGTTTATGCAAAAATATTAATAATCTAATAAATATAGTAAAGTAAAAAGTACAGTATTTCCCTCTGAAATGTAGTGGAGTATTGAAAAGAAAAGACTCAAATAATTAAGTACTACAAATCTATCAAATCATCTGCATTGGCAAGTAACCTTTTCTACTCGGTGAATGGATGTTTAATGAACCAGACACACTGCTGCTAACTAGATTATGTGGGTGACAGAGGTGATGCCCTGACCGCATGGCTGATGGCGCCTCGGACAAACCCTCACACAGCTCACTGATCATTGTCGTCTACATGCCCTCCCTCTCCACCACAGCTGTGTTCAGAGGCCCCTGGGCCAGAAAGCTCCTGTTAAAAGCTACAAATACAAATCAGCCAGTTCTGAGCTTCAGCTGATTTGCTGCAAAGGCTGCTTCTATTATTAACTCTTTCAACACGTCCTCCAACTGAAGGCTGGTTTAAACATATACAATATGTAGAATAAATAGTATCTGTAGTTTTTAGATGGTAACTGCATGTCAAGCAGTTCAATTTCAGTTTCACCTCAGGTACTGTAAGTCGGCAGTGGTGGAGGAAGTATTCAGATTTTTTATTTAATTAACTGAAAGTAGCAATAGTGCAATATAAAAATACTCAAATACTTACAAATCCTACATTTATTGTGAGTTGAGTATTATTAAATATACTAATCCCTTCCTGTGAGTATATCTTCTGTTGCCAAGTTTTCTCTATGGCAACATCATATTTTATATGATCATGTATTTTGTATTGAAAATCTGTATTTAGTAAAGCTTTTAAATATATGCAGTGTAAAAAGCACAGTATTTCCCTCAAATGTAATGGAGTAGTAATGGAAATACTCAAATGAAGAACAAGTACCTCAGCTTTGTACTTAATTTAATATGTAATAAGTTTCCACTACTGTGTGTCAGTTGCCTTCAGTCCACTTCTCACACCAATGTCTGTTTGCATTTAGGAATTGAAGAAATCAATATAAACATTCATTGTGCACAGCTAACAAACTAAAAGAGCTTTTGGCTTTTTCCTTCTCCTTTATTGACTTAGATATCTTTTTTGTGCATGTAATAGGTTTGCAGGGTGAAAAAGTCTACCCCAAAAGGAGTTCCCATTGTGGTGTCCGAACAATAATGCTGCGATGATGTGTTGAGAAGAAATCCGCTTGACACTGTTCTTGGTTATAAAAGTTTATTACATCAAAGAATTCAGCATCAATTACAAGCTCTGCAGCAGCTTGGAGAGTGACCCAGCCCGATGACCACTCTGTCTCTCTGTACATCGAACACAGCTTATATAGGACATGTTTAGGTATCTGCTAAATACCATATAAGGGCACAGTCCCTTCATACACACTAATCTCTACTCCCCCTACCACTGGGTCAGAGGTCAAATTCCTTAGTAGGGTTCACTCTTTGTACACCCATCAATCATTACTTCCCCTTAAGGGTTCACTGTCCCTCTCCCCAGCTGCAGAGCATTATGTTAAACTGTAATGGTCAAATGCACATATGTTATACACCACACCATCTCCCACAGAAAACACTGCTCTGAACTGCCTGAAAACAGCTCGTTTGTAGTCCAGCCTTTTTTTCCGCTTTGCTGCGACGTCACAGCAAAACGCGTCAATGCTTGCCAAACGACTAGTCCGACACGCCCTCAAAAACACCTGTGGAAAAACCCTCTGAGCTGCAGTGACAAGACGTCCGCCTGCTGCCTCTCCTCTCCCTTCCAAACACTAGCTAACCTCCAGGCAGTCAACCGTGATGTAGACAGAGCTCATTTAAAACTTTATGGATGAAAGATACATTTGTTACAAATTAATAACGCGGCACTCTGAAACTCTTGCTCCAGTCTATGTTGCTAAGCTGGTAAAGGGAAGATATAGGCGTTCAGTGCCAACAAAACGTTGCAAAACCTTTTTTTCATTTGAAACAGTGGTTCCCTGAACACCTTGTCGTTTACACAAGCCCACTGCATTTTCCTGCCTTTTTAACACCGTTGTGTTTACAAACTTGTCACAGCTGATTGGGTAACACCTCTGACACGCCCACACAACAGAACAAAACATACCTCGAAGCCCGTTGCACAACCTTGCGAAACATGTCGTCCAATCCGAAAATGTTGCAAACCGGTGCAAAACGTTTTCAGATTGAAATCACCCCTGAGCCGAAGCCGTATTTACCTATACTGCTTCTGAATGGCTTTTCCTTAACTAGGTACTGCGCATGTGCAACTCCCAACCAAGATCTTGTAGAAATGACATGTATCACTACATCATAGGTAACACACAGGGTGAAAAGAGGAGCTGCAGCAATGTGCACAATGTACATTCAATGTGCAAAAATATAGTGTTTTTTGAAAATGAAATCGTGTAAACCTGTTATGATACAACCACCAAATAAAATTATGAACCTGATAATGAGCATAATAAGACCACTTTAAGAAACCTAGTTTTGTTCATAATTAGGTTTATGCCACTGAATGTGGGAAAGGAACTGGAGGTTTTTATTATAAAGTTGCAAAGGTATCAACATTTCTCTCATGAACACAAAAACAGACTAGATAGGGGTTTTCAAAGCCTGAGACTGTGGGTCAAATCACACACATTTAGGCTGTTCTATGTGATCTCCTTTTGATAACAAATGTAATATATTTTCACTTCAATTCAGAGCCTTCCCAGTAAGTCTTTGGAGCCTTCCTGAGGTCCGACTCCCACTTTTAAACCTCTGAACTTGGCCTATTAATTTATTCTGTTCGTACGGAGTGAAACTCCTGTTGTTTTATGTGACAGCTGAGAACAATGAATTTAATTGAAACACATAATTCTTATAAAAATACACAGACAAAGTTTGCATTGCATTCAATACAAAATAGGTGTGGTTTATTCTTTTAGGAACAAAAAATGGCAACAACTAAGTGTCACTTCTCATAACCAGCGATATCTACAGGAAAGAAACAACAACGGTTCCTTCTGTCAATTACCATTTTCCACCAGGTTAAAATGATAACTTCAAATGTATTTCCATGTGGTTTGCCTCGGTGTGCATGTTTTTCACATTCTGTCTATTCTGAACATTAAAACGTGTTCATTTCAATTTTCATTTCCCCTCAGTCTTCATGCCTGCAAAGAAAACATCTGTCCGCTTTTTTTTCCTTTGAATTTTACGGTTGAAAATGCTTTTGTTTACACAGCTTCAAAAACACTATGTGTCTGTACAAATTCCTATGAAAAAAATAGAAATGACAGTTCTGAGGGAAAAAAACAAATACGAAAGCAGTCATAAAAGAACATTAACATGCCTGATTGAATCCTAATGTTATTTCAAAACAATTTCATGACTTTCTCTATTCTCCTCCATTTGTTGTCTCCTTGTTGGTTTGTCCGTTGACACCTTGGATTTTATTTTCTCTCAAGGGCTACAAAGACAAAATCCACACACAAAATACAATTTCCCCAAGAATGACATCCAGTTGTGCGTTGCTATTTTCTGAATCCTCTCTTTACCGTTATTTCTCCCCCCCGGCTATTTAAAAAAAATGATAACAGACGCAGATGAAGCAGAGTCCTATATGGGAGTGCATGTGTTGTTTTTGTCACTTGATGATAAATCTTCTTAAAGGGTACTTGTTCTTGGTAGTCCAGCTGGGTCTTTAGTCCATGAAGCTTGCTTCAATGTGTGCTTGCCTACAGTATTTCTACTTTACTGCTGGTCAGGGTTGACAAGGGGTGACCTGTGACTTTAGTGCAATGTTTCCCAACTTTCTTTGGGAGAATTATTTTGATGATTTGTCCCATATCTGCTTTTTCTGACTAGCCCTTGGTTGTCTTTCTTAGGGGGCTTCTAGTTTGTAACTAACAGTCCCATTTCATCTTCTTCTTCTGTAGTCCTTCCCAGGCCCATGTGTTCTTTAGTTTGGGGGCTTCTCTGACCGCTCTTTTCCAAATGCTAAGACGAAGAGCAAAAAGATGCCTTGTGATAAAATAGACAGTTATAGACTTTATTTATCTGCACTTGTCCTTTAAGCCTCCAAATGTCCAGACAGTTGGCTCTTATGGGGTTGTTGTGTCCAGTTGTTCCTCCCAAACGGATTCCAAAGTAGGAACTAGCAGGATGTCGAAGGATTTCACTTCACACACGGAAAAGAGCACAATGTCAGACCTCACTAAGCCAGAGCCGGGGAGAAAAGGTGAGGGGTTTTGCGGATTCTTTGTAAACGACACTTCATGAGCCCACCTGCCCATCTCTTCCATTGCCTCTTCCTCCTTCTTCATCCCTCCATCTTTAGAAGAGACTACATACAGCAGGTTTGGATGGGCTAGAAGGGGGAGATTTGCGGGAGGTTGTAGGTAGTGTAATAGGTAACAGGAAGGGGGAAGGTTGTCCCTCTGTGTTTGAGTAGGGAATCTGCGTGTGCGTGTGTATGCATGTGTGTGTATGCACGAGTGTAGATGCCTTGCTGCCAGGCTGTTAGGATTGTTTGAGGCGCTTGCGTGGGG